TATGTGAACTTTATCCAAGGTTCAAATACTTTTAACTTAAAGGAGCGGAAATAGTAGCAAACTGAAACTTACAAGCATATTAGGAGAGGAGATCCGAATAGCTAATACAGAAGGGATGAGATCCTGGACGTATAGCGGGTCAAATACATATCGTTGGCAGGGTAATTATAACTGATCATAAGATCGACATATTTAACATTCAACCCTCTCATTTATAGTCTATAGACTATTTTAGTTTGCCCATAAGCCCGCCATTTAACGTTTTTTACTGTTATATCAAAAAATTAGAGTAGGAATTTTATTTAATGACTCTTATAATCAAGGCTGATTATACGTTCAGTGTGTGGCTGCTTGGGGATATGGTAGCATGCATGAGGCGTTATCTATGTTTCTAAACCGTGCTGACCAAAAAACCAAGCTTACAATGAAACTGGGGGGAGACAACAATCTACCGTTATTGAATTTGAAAATTATTTTTCTCAGTACTAAGAAAAAGGAAAAAATTCAACCTATCCTGGAGGCTGAGGCATCTATCAATGAAATGGACATTGGTTTAGTGGTTTTTGGTGATTGTTCGTAAATGGTAGCTTCAGTATCTGACGATGTCTATTGCATGACGAACAAATGATTAGCACGGATCCATCGAGATCGCCGGACGTTGGGCAAAGGTCTTCTTAACACAATCCAATAATCACAAGTTCACGGCAATCTTCCTTCTGTCTTCGATAAGGCCAATTTATGAATCACTTCCACCCGCCTTTTCAAACGAAATGGAAGGTATGTCAGCCCATATTATAATTCACTTGCCTAAAAAAATGCTGTTGCCCAGATTCTACGTCAGTTCCGAACTTTACTTGGCCAAATGTAGTCGAGACTGTTAATTAGATCTAAACGAGATTAAAACTACGGACCGGTTTAGAGAGATAGCCTTGTAGAAGGCAAGACTAAAATAACTTAAATGATATCCTGAGATATTCTACTAACCATGGTATGGAAACTTCAACTTAATCAATAAAGGTGACCCTAATTCATACAAAAGGCTTTGCTTCTTAGGCTATGAAATGAATGGAATTTCAGAAAGCTGAAATATAGGAAAGAGGATAAAATGGAATATGATTATTGCTGCTTTGTTAGGATTGAAGTCTATCGAGTTAGCAAGCCTCTAAGGAAAAGAAAAGCTAGTTTTAATGTTGGAATGCTTTAGGATGTGAAAAAGTTGACACATGGGTGTCTCAAATTGTATACAGGACTAGCGGTATGGTTTTTTGACCGTCTCATTGTACCGGTGTTACGGCTCCGCAGCTCGGGCAGAATAGACGAGCTTTATCAGGCAAGGGGATAAAACCCTTTCGTGGGCTCTCAGAATGACAGTTGGCACAGTCCCGCTGTTCTGCCTCGATTTTGGGCCGCAGTGATTTATGCGTGCCATCGCAAAAAGGTGGGTTCCCGGAGTGCTTGCATTGACAGAAGGTGAAATGTGTGGCAGAAGCAGATAATTCAACCGTACAGGTTGGGTCGGCTGATATGTGGCTCCATAAAAGTGGCTTGAAAGGCGTTGGCTTGTGAGAACCTATAATGGCGCCGATACATGAAAGTTGTGAATGGCTAATATACTGAAAACAGGGCTTAAAGATATAGGAAGCAATGGTAAAATCGGCAACTTGATCGAATTAACTGAGATACTTTGAGGAGTTTGTTTGAAACTGTGCCATTTTTGCCAATCCTTTTTGGTACAGGATAATCGACCAGTATCGTCAGAGAGGAAGGAATACAATAAATGCCAAGTGACAACGAGATATAACTTTTCATAGCATCAAGAAAAGTCCCCTTAATTAATTGAGACTCAAGGAAATACTCTATGCCTATTTTATTCTACCCTTCCAAGTAGTCAGATTCTTGTTCCTTCATTAGCGCACCAAGAATCCCTTTATCCCCTTGCCACCTTCCCGTCACAGTATAAGTGAGCACATACACTTGCGAATGTATTAAGGCATTTTTAATCATTTTGGCATTATTTGGCGGAAATTAATTTACTCACTTGTCTCCTTCACCGGGGCTCCAAAAGATCCCCTTTTCGTTGCGCATATTTCCACTATCGCCACAGGACGTTACTGTTGTACCAGTTCAGTTCACTAATCTAAATAATCTAAATCTTCATTCGATTCGCTTACTGCATCTAGAGCGTTTTTTTATTAAGGCATCAATTCTCGCTCTGATGATGTATGTCAAATGACAATTGAAAGCTTAGCACAGGTCCATCGGAGTCGCGAGACGGTAAGCGATGACTTATGCACACAATGCAAAAGTCAAACCACGAAAGCAATCCTCTTTAGTTTAATCAAAGTTATGAAGACCAAGATGGTGTGGCCTTCTTAGCTTTACGCTAAGACCAATTCATTAATCCACACTAATTCACTTTTCATAAGAAATAAAAAATCATATCACAATAGACAACTTAGGAAGTCTTCGAAACCCCTGTTTTTATCATATACATATATACATACATACATATATATATATATGCTGTTCGATCATATCTGCATCAACTTCACTCATGCGGAAGTATGCACAGTAAGAATGCGGTGTTTATCCAAATCATGTTAGGTCGCACTAAGATCACAATATCAAGTTATAAAAGGTAAGTAGAAGAGCAGTCAACTTCCATTCTTGGCCTATTATTTATTTACCCTTGATTAAATAATGGTTTCAGGCTGTGATTAAGTCTCTCATGTAGCATATGAAAATGTGCACGGATTCATCAGGTTGGCAAAACGATGAGCTAAGGACTTCTTCGAACAAATCAACAATAAAAACTATAAGATAATTAATCCTTTAATTTCCAGTATGACCAATTAACGAAGCACTCCCACCAAACTTTCAAAACTAAACTTAAGATCCGAGTATATGAGATATTACTGTGGTAGCGTTAATGTGTCGAAAGAAGCTGTGATTTTATAAGCATTATCTGATTATGGCTAGCTTTGATTTTATCTAAACTTTTAGTGTGATCTTTACAAAGTTGCATCGGCCCCACATTTACATAAGTCCACTCGACAAATGTGAATTAGAATAGAACAAATTGTAACCTTAATAGCTATCCGAATTATATTTTTTTGGTATCCTCTCCTTTATGTCTCCAGTTGCTAACGTTCCTGGATAGCTTCCGTTTTAGCATAATTTTCACTTAGCTAGTCTAAATGTGCATAAGTTTCGATTGCAGCTAATTAAAAGGTATGTGAATTAAGGTGTCTTTACTTTATCAACTTTAGCCCTAACCATCTTCTTGATTGGTTTATAAGTCTATAGATCTTTACAAAGGTTTTCATGTCATCACGGATTTCAGGTTGCACAAGGGTATGGAGAACATGAGAGCAAAGATTTGATAAGTGC